ACTTGTAGACATGTTGGGATATAAAACGGCCTCGACGACCAGGCTCATGGAGTCAGGCCGCCCTCATTGATCTTGACAACATCCGCCACAAGATGAAAACGTTCGCGCGATGCCTCGTATGGGCGAGTGTGATTACATCGTTCGTCGCAGCCCAAAACGCCAACGTCACACTTGTCGCAGCCGCTACTGGATTCGAGGGCGACAATACCAACTTCGTCTACGGCAAATCGCCTGTACTGGTCATCAATGATGGAAGTGCTGCCGATGGTGGCTTCCGGACATTCTCTGTCTCCAATTCCTCGAGCTTTGCGAAGAAGTCGCATCAGAAGACTGGTCGCTCGAAGATTGCTGTCGTTGTTCACGACATCGACGGTAGGGATCTGATCGTCAATATCCCAGCTCCAGATTCTTTGATCAGGGTCTTCGACGCTCAGAGTGGGCAGATGATCGAAAGTAATAACAAGAAGCAGCTGGGGGACTGGAGTACTGCGTGCGTGTGGCGTAGTGGCAAGAGCGGACAAAGTTACATCTTCCTCTTCGGAAAGAAGATGGTTGTGCAATTCTTGATTCGGAGCAACAAAAGCCGGGTCGAGATCCTGGAGGTACTGTTGTCTATTGATCGTGGCCAAAGGCAGTAATACTGACAAAGGTCATAGGTTCAAACTTTTCCCGTTGCTATCGAAGGCGAAACTTGCGCCGTGTTCGCGAATGGCGGGATCTTCTTTTCGGCCGAAGATCTACCCTTGTACTCTTTCCAAGCGTCGGAGTCTATCCAGGCACCCGAAATTGAGACTGTCACTGAGGAAATCGAAGTTGCGGGACTTGCTACCTACCACAGCGCATCCGCCGACTATCTGTTCGTAGCCCACGACGAGGTCATCGATGTGTACGACTCCGACATCAAGCAGAAGGGAAGCATCGCATTGGGCGGCATCTCTGATCTTTCTATTGAGGGCTCGCTCGCCATCCTTCAATCTTCAGTTGCTGGATACCCATCTGGCGCATTCGCCTTCGCTTTTGAGGGAGAGGACGATACTGGGGTAGCTGTAGGTTCTCTGGACGGCGCGCTCAAATCCATTAGCATCAAGCCAAACACACAGTACAGTCCCAAGAACAAGGCTTGCAAGCACTGCGAAAGCTCCGTCACCAAGAAGTGCTCCAACAATGGCTTCGTGTCAGGCAAGGACTGTTTCTGCTTTGCCGGCTTTACTGGTCGCGATTGCTCCAACGTCACCTGCGAAAACGATTGTTCTGGACGTGGCAAGTGTACTGGCCCAAATATCTGCAAGTGCAAAGATGGGTGGACTGGCCCAGACTGCTCGTTCGTCGCGGTCACCGCAAAGTTCGAGACTGATGCAAACGGCGGAGACGGCGACGACCCTGCGATTTGGATCCATTCCACTCGACCAGACCAGAGCAAGATCATTACCACAACAAAGTCTGAAGATGGCGAAGGCTTTGGTGTCTTCGATCTGCAGGGAAATCTCCTTCAGCACCTGACGGCTGAAGAGCCAAACAACGTCGATGTCATCTACAACTTCACTCTCGGTTCCCGGAAGGTCGATCTCGCATTCGCAGCATGCCGCGGTGACAATACCATGTGGTGAGTACCATCGCATGACTTCTCAGAACATCTGCTAACACATCGCCAAGCCTGGTCGAAGTAAACAGCACAGGCTACCTTAGCACCATTTCTGGTGGTAAACAGTTGCTACCGAAAGATTACGAACCTTACGGCTCCTGCAACTACCGCTCTCCGACTACCGGAAAAGAGTACCTCTTCGTCAACAACAAGAATGCGCAATACCTACAGTACGAACTCAGCGCGACCGCGAACGGCACCCTACAAACCACGCTCGTCCGCGAATTTCAAGGCGGCTCAGGCGGCCAAGTCGAAGGCTGCGTTGCGGACGAAGGTGCCAGCTACCTCTTCATCGGCGAAGAACCACTCGGCATCTGGCGCTACGAAGCCGAACCCACTGGCTCGAACACCGGTGTTCAGATCGCGCAAGTGGGCGACGCAAGTGATCTCCATGCCGACGTTGAGGGCATCACGCTTGTGCCAGCCAAGTCAGGTCCAGGCGGCTACATCATCGTTTCGTCGCAGGGAATCTCCGCATATCTGATCTACGAGCGCGCGCCCCCGCACAAGTACGTGGAGACGTTCACTATCGTTGACAACAAGGCAAAGGGCATCGACCACGTCAGCAACACGGATGGATGCGCTGCTGTGGGCAATGCGCTGAACAAGGACTTCCCGAACGGGCTTTTTGTCACGCATGACGATGCTAATGAGTTGGCTGGCGGAGGTACTGCGAAAGAGGCGAGCTTCAAGTTGGTTAGTCTGGCGGATATCTTGGGCAAGGAAAGGGTGGCGAAGCTGGGGTATTAGAGGTAGTCCTACAATAGGCTATGAAATCAGAGATGACGTTGTCATTATCCAGCGATTGATGCAAGATCCGCCGCACTTCATACGAGAACAAAACTAAACGAGTCTGCAGACTACGTTGCGATAAAGAAACATACAAAGTGGGTGGCCTAACGTCAACGTTGGCTCTAGGGTGTTTGGATTCTCTCTAGGTCAACGTGGCAGTACATGTCTGCTCTGCATGCATTTCGTCTTTAAAGGCGTTGGATGCCTGCTACCGCTCTCTCTCAGCTTGACGCTCCAACACCCCAAGACCTATGTTCCTCGTACCGCCGCCTCAGCTCAGCCTGGTCGTCCCTCCGCTGCAGCATCTCCATCCAGTCTGCCCGGCGCGGGCGATCTTCGTGAGTGGCTAACAGGGCGGCTTCTTCAAAGTTCTCGATGGGCATTTCTTCTACGCATGTGTCGTTAGTAATGGTAAATTGAGGGGACTGCCTAGTGGCAGAATTGGTATTGCAGCATATACGTCATTGGACGTTGACAAGTATGTATTTCCATATCAATGTATCCTCCTAGCTTAAGAAGATCTCACAGAAAGAACCGAAATAGTGCTTCACTTACCGGGATAAGACCTGTTCCAATGCTGGTGATGCGGCATGGAGTATTTCCAAGGGTCGAAATGCAAGTTTGGCCAGAAATCCGTAGCGGGGCTACGCAGCCTAGTTACGCTGTCGGATTTGTCCCCATACTCCCACGCGGTGTTTTCACCATATAGCTCTGCGATGATGGTGACATTGTCGTGTCCGCACGTTTTCGCGTAACTGCGTAGTTGCGCTAGCTCCGTGTCGCGAATCGCGTGGGCCATATCGTCGTCCATCGTGCATCCGTATCTGATCGATACACCGGCCTGGCCAGTCGGGATGTAATACCGTATCTGCCATTCAGTCATGGTGTCTTTCGCCATGAGATCGACGAGGTCGCGCATCGCAGCGATAGGAACGCAAGGGTGTTCTGGTGAGATCCTGGGCCAGAGTGAGAGTAGATGGTCGAGGTGGACCGTCGCACGTCGCTTTCCCAGCTCGTGTTCAAGATACAGGTTCCAAGAGTGCGGAATATAGTTCTTGATGGCGTGGTGAAGGGTGTCGAGTAAGGCGACTATGTTCCATTTTTCTCCGTTTGCATCATTAAGACGGAAGTCGTCGCTGCCGTCCCACCGGCGGTCTATCGAGACACGCAGAATATCGATGTGCAAGTGGAAATGCACTTCCATGAAGTCGGTCAGTGATGCTGCAATGGTGTCTGTCGTCTCTTTGCTCAGGCCGTAGTCTTCGTCCAGGACGCCTCCGTAGTTGTACTGCATACCGGTCATTACTGGGACGTAAGCAACCTGCTTCTCGACAAGGTAGCTCCGCGCTTCCTTATATATCTGAGAACATGTCTGTAGTAGAGCAATGTACGGGTCGGGTTTGTTGAGATAGTACGGATTCAAGGGTACGCGCTGGTATTGCTTGTCGAGCGCAAGGTCGTAGATCTGGTTTCGCAGTTCGCCAGAGAGATCAAAGAATGTCTTGCGACCTGGCACGAGCGCCTTCGCGTCTTTGATGACGATATCTAAGCGGTCTGTCATGATGAAGTGACGATTGGTCGCGGCTGATTTTTTTCGCGACTCCCGAGGTCTGCAGTCTGAACCGCGTACTGGCGTGGGGGTCGTGTGGGATCGCGTGTCAGTTGCGGGGCAACCCTGGACAAGCGATGTGACGACCATCAAGTCTGAAGACATATGCTGTCGCTGGCTATTCTTTCAAAACAGTGTACAGTCATTCTTATGCCGCATCTCATCATCATATGCCGTTTGATGAAATTCGCAGGACGAGCATTGAGAAAGTTGGCGCACATGAATCCCGCACGTGACTTTGACATTCATCCACTGGGCTCATGGTGTAGCGCAATATCCACTAACCGGCAGAGACTCTCATACTCCATTTCTGAGACAGATTATGCGCTTATTGAGTCTCGACCGCTGTAAAAGGTCTGACGTCACCACACCAGTCCAGACTGTCGCAAGTCCTCTTCACGTCGCCTTCACCTCGTCCCGCACGTCCCTATACCGCCGGCAGAACTACGGATACCGGTGTGAGCACAGTCCATGTGAAATCCGGGCCCACAGGTTCATCCGGCCGCTCTTGGCAGGCCAGCAGCCGACTATATAAACAGCGTTTCCTGCCTCCCTCCTACAATCCACACGCCCCCCGGGCTATACTCGACTAACTCACAGCAGCTGGCTAACCCCCAGCATCGCCTTCTCGACTGGCTTTTTCCGTGCACGGCTTGGAAGAGAGACTCTTCGACGCATGGTTGCGAGTCATCGAGCGCCGCGAGGTGGGGCGGCCCTCCACAACATTCACTTGTTGTGTTCCTTATGCTTTTTCATTAATGTTTCTGGCTTGCCAGAACATTGAGGAAGGAGTTGGCGGTTTAATCTGTTGTGATGTGATCGAGTAAGGTGAAGTGAAAGAAAGTGAAGTGAAGATGAATGCAATATGAATCGAGAAAAGAGTGAGAACAATCGCTACCGTTTACCATTGTGATAGTGACCATCGCTCTTCATGTTGATACCCGGACCATATATCTTCTAGTCGTACAATCTGTCATCAGAAGAAGAACGAGGCTCCTCCAGAACCTCTAATCGGCTCCAGGGCTCTCGAAGGGCTTCATCGCCAATGTCACCAGACAAAGCCTTTTTGATATCCTCAATCTTCCACCCGTAATAATTACTTTCATAATCGGCAATGTAGATACTCGCGATGGTCTCGAATGAGGCAGAGGGGAGGAGATCCTTGTTGCTTCGAGCGCAATGAACGAGGGCATCGGCGCGGGACTGTTGGTATGCCAACTCTAACCAGTGTCTCTCCAAGTTGAGTCGGGTGACACAACTTGCGTGCTGATCTGACGACAAATGTCTATCATAAAACCTTTCGTCCAGCCTCCAAGGGCGGCGTTCGCACAGTGTTTTAGTGTCGGCTTTGAGCTGTGCCTCTGCATATGTCTGTTCTAGTCCTCTGAACTCCCAAAGAATGAGATCCTCTGCCTCGACACAGATGCCGTCTGGACACAGCCGCTGTATCTGCCGTTTCGCTTCTTCGTAATTCTTGTCGTGTTGATCAATCTCATTCTTTGCTCTTTCCGCCTCCATCATCATCCTGTTCAATTCTCCAGTGGAATATTTGATCTCCTCGTCGAGTTCACGATCCTGGTATCGTTGTAGAACTCTCTTGGTATAGTAGATGTTGGCTGGATCATCTGGATCATCCTGGTAAGTTCTGATCTGTTGGAAAGCACCTTCGGCCCAGCCTCGTCCTGACGGCTTGTGCTGCGCCCGGATGAAGTCAGCCCGAAACTGATCGATGTCAAGCTTTTCGGGCCAACCGTTCTTGATCAGAAGCGATGATGTGATGTTGTGGGAAGGCGGAAGGACGCGCGGATCAGCGGGTCGATCAGCGGGGTTCGCGGCCACCCATGGTGTCCATGCTGTGCTCCGATACGCGTCTCTGATCCTCCTCAAGAAGGTTGGCGCATCGGCCCATCTCGTTCAATCACGGCTGTGCCTGTTCACCGAGAGAATTCCCGTTGAGTTAATCGCTCCAATGACAGGGGTGTCTTCCCATCTGTGACCAGATCTGTACTGTTCGCTCTTGTATGGATCTCGGAATTGAACCAAGCACCCATTGACCTGTGGCTGGTAATCACTCCTCTCCTCTCCTTCATAGACCCTAATTGCATTCTTCCTAGTGTCATATTGGAGTTGCCAACTTCTGTAGAGATCCCAGCCATCCTAGCCGCCATTGGTCAAGTGGACCATTCCTGGCCGCATGAGGAACGAAGGGTCTTTGTCTGCTTCGTCAGGATCACAGCCGTAGCCCAGGAATTTATCTATCCGGAAATCGAAAAAAGTGCCACCCCATAACCAATGGTCATCGTCGAGTAGTGGGACGTCTACATATGGGAGGATCTCCATTAAGCACAGGTCGGCTGCATCGCGCCTACAGGGACTGGCTGTAGAATTGATTTGGTGTGGGCCACGCTTGATAGAGTCATGCGGAATGAACGAGGCATTTGCTAGCATGGTGTAGATTTCGTCCATCAAGGCAGCAACCTCCTGAAGTTGGTCTTCATTGTAAGTCTCGACAACCTGAATATCGACGTCATTGTCGTGAAGTGATGGTGAGCTTATGGTAGCGGAAGGGCTGTAGATGCGGTAGAAGGCCAGGAAAGCGATGAGAACTACAACGAACACGACTAATGGGTCCTGATATCGTTTTCTCGTGGTAGGGTCGCGTAGAGTCTGGCGAGGTGGCTCATCGTGGTCGTGCTTGGTCATTGGTGAAGACATGGGCAATCGCTGTGGGAGGCGGCTTCAGCGATCCATGACCACGTCTGATGCGATAATAAGAGGATTCAGCCATTAATTTCTCAAGAACATTGAGGACAGATGTAGAAATCAGAGGTAGTCGGACGCCTTACGCGGTTTGACACGCTTGCACGTGCACGCATCCACATTTTCGACGATGAGTCGGCAGGAACATGGACGCCCCACCATAGGCAACGACATTCGGAGTTGTATTCGACAGCTGCCGCTTGATGTATGGACCGAGAGAAAGCTTTGGACATTGAACAGTCAGATCTTCAGTGTTACCATGTCTGACGGGGTCTCGACGAGGAAACTTGGTCAACTGCCGGCTGAAATGCTGGATTTCACGCTCCTCAAGACGTCAGGCTCGCTTGCGCCGCGACTCGGCCGCCTGTCGTTCCCGGGACGCAAGAGTATCCTTACACCCGCCTTTATTGGCAACACGTCCAGAGGCGTCATACCCCATGTATCGCAGGACAACTTCCGACGGAGCGCCGATGTTGGCGGGGTCTACGTCGCGCTCGAGGACTGTACGTAACGTTCCCCATATATGCCACCAAGCCCCGTTAACAGCATGCAGTCGTCGAGAAGCGCCCGCACAAGACTCCGCCAGTCTTCAAGTATGACGTGCCCGAGCCGTTGCGCAAGTTCATCGCCCTCCCCGAAGACACGCTCCTCGTCCTGGGTGCGCGTCGCAATCCGCCCATAGCCAGCCCTCACGGGAATACAGACACCGAGATACGCCTCCTGACGTCGGTCGGCTTTACGACTCTCAGCTCCGAGTACTATGCCGCCGCGGCACGGAAGCTGCAACCAGACATCGTCGTGGGACTGGGTGATATACCAGTCGGGCAGGAGGCCATCAGTCTCAAGCGGAAAGACCGGATGAGCGACAGGACCGAGGTGTGGCTGCGTGACATGGTAGCCAAGCAGGGCACTATCGACGAGGACGAGAAAGCATGGAGCATCTTTGCGCCCATCCTGCCCATCGAGCGCGACCTACAGTCATGGTATTTGGATCACCTGCTAGACGACATGGTGGACAAGATCAGCGGCCTCGCCATCTACGACGCCTATCTACTCGACAACCTACCCGACCAGCTCCATCACCTCCCACGACTATCCTTCCACGTCCCTGCCAGCCCACAGGAGCTTCTCCGCCATGTACGCATGGGCGTGGACGTCTTCACCGTGCCCTTCCTCGCCGACGCGACCGACGCGGGTATCGTCCTCGACTTCACCTTCCCAGCGCCCGTCGGAGACGGCAACACAAGCGCGCGCCGCTCTCTAGGCATCGACATGTGGAGCGGTGAGCATGCTTTGTCCGTCACCCCGCTATCCGAAGGCTGCACATGCTACGCCTGCACAAAGCATCATCGCGCCTTCCTCCAGCACCTGCTCGCTGCCAAAGAAATGCTTGGCTGGGTACTCATTCAGCTACACAACCACGCCATTCTCTCGGCCTTCTTTACCGGCATTCGCGCCTCCATCGAAGCGGGTACCTTCGACGCTGACATGGCCGATTTCCAGGCTTATTACGAACCTACGCTTCCCGAGAAGTCTGGTCAAGGTCCGCGAGTTAGAGGATACCAGTTCAAGAGCGAGTCGCATGATCCGCATAGGGAGAAGAAGAACCCCAAGGCTTTCAAGAAATATAATGAAGAGACAATCTTGAAGCTGAAGGCAGCTCGTAGCCAGCAAACAGAAAAGAGACCAGCAATGACAGACGTTGTCGACGACGAGGCTCTGCTGGGCTTGGTCCAATTGGACGAGTATGTTGTGGAAGCGGATCCGGATACGCACATGAAAGACTTGAAGGTGAAATAGGATTGAAGGGCCTGGGTACTCCAAAGGATCATCCAAATACATTGCCTTCCCAATCCACGCGATCCATCGCCTAATACTACGCGTCTCTAGAGTCCACCGCATTTATGACCACATTGGCAAGCTCCCTACCCGTACGCGCATGCACCGCCCGCAGTCTGCCGCCTCTGGTCTGGCCTGGTGTAGCATAGCAAGATTCATCATATATCATCAGATAGAACATGTTCTCTATCAGATCCGACGTCACCAATGGCCCATCGTCAAGTATATCCACATACATCCATGTGGTTATATATTCTTTGCCTGGAACATCTTCGCCCCATAAGGACGAGCTTCGGCGTATGCCCCCTTCCAGATCAGCTTTGACGACACCGATGTTCACGAACATTTCAGCCATCGCGAGAACTTCGTACTGCTGATCAATTTCGCAAGTCCTTGGGAACAGAATGATTTCGGCGAGAGCTGTGAGCTGGTCTTTGGCCGCTGGTTTCCGGACTTGCGAGGCGTTGTCTGAAGCGCTTGGGTTGGAAGGCGCTTCGGTTTTGACCCTTGTGTTGTTCCAGATATCTCTTTTCCGAATCCGTTCATCGCTGCTAGGAACGAGACCTGGCATGAATGGTGATCGCAATGGTATGCCAAGCTCGTCCAGGATCATGTATTGGTTTGTGTCGTCTATCGAACGCGACACATCGGTGGTGCTGGCCGGCAGAGCGAAGGAGCGACTGGCACAGAGGAGGAGAAAAGGGTAGAACATCATCTCGGCTTCCGCAAGCTTGCTGTGTTGGGTGATGGTCAGTCGTGGACATATTACTACCCGCCTTCTTATAAGCAGCAGTACGCTGTAAGAGGACCTGTTTACCAGATTGCGTAGGCATCACAGTAAGCATTCAAAGTATCGCTACTTTACCATGTTGTACAATATGACAACTCCGAAGTGACGCCAAGATTGCACGACATATAAGAAGTAATGGTATCACAGCTGCCCGGACTACTTCACTCTTTCCGGCGGGACCTGACTATCGCAAACATGTTTTCACTGCAAATATGATACTCTTTGCGGCCCGGTCAATTCGTTTTCGTTTGCTATTCGTCACATCCCTTACAGGGCCACAGTGTCCTTTCGTTCGTATCCCAGTCTCGCGCTTGGCAACGTGTAACCACCGGCATTTTACCCTTCACATTATCAACACCACGTTTCTAGACGTACATGACGACGAAACGTTGGTTACTCGTTACGAGGAGCAATCACCAGAGCAGCAATCACGATCGATGCGCACAATCTTCCAATAACGCTAAGAGTCGTGTGTTGTCTACATGAACATCCGCCATCATACAAACACCATAAGCGACGTCTCTCCAGTGGATTCGTCACACGACTGCAGTCCGCTATACGTCTCTCTTGTTTCCCAACCATCCATTCCGGAACGCCCAAACTCAAGTCTACGGGTACTCAGAACTCGCAGACATATCCGCGATGGTACTTGCTCCCCCCTGAACACGTGATCGTAGGCTCATCGTACTGTGGATCCTTCCCACACTGAACGACAGCCTCATCTCTGCACCGAATCTGGCCCGCGTCGACGCCACTGCCTTCGTAACGGCAGTCCTTTTTGCCGGGTACTTCGATAGGGAATGAAACCTGTCAAGAACATCGAGGTCAGCATATGTTAAAGAGGGAAAGAGGGAAGGTTTACTTACTTCTTTGCTGGGAAATGGAGGATGATCGATGGCGTTGGGACGGGAGTCTTTGCCTAATTCTGTATAATGGATTAGCTCAAAGGAATTGTTCTTTTCGTCGCCCCCACACGGCCCCCATGCTATTCCTTGCTTCCCTCGTTGGGCGATGTAGAGGTATTTATCCTCATCCCAGACGCTGTACAGAAGTTGAAGGGAGAATTGAGGGGCCTGTTAAACCTTGGTATTAGTAAAGGTTACTCGCAGTCGCAGTCGCAGTCGCATAGACTAAGATATAAGACTTACATTTCTAGTGTTATGTGCCGCTGTCGAAGTGCTTTCACTCGCCAAGGTTTCCAGAGGAGCTGCTGAGATACAGGATAGACCGGCAAGTAGCCCGATAAATGAGTTATTGCAAATGAGCATAGTGGAGGGTAGTATGGTCGAAGCAGATGCGCAAGCCGTTTCTTCGCGAGTAAGTGAGAAAGAGATGATGGCTTGAGAAGCAAACTAAGGTACCAGACAATCGTGCAGTTATTAAGTGATAACGGTGGATCATGTATGGCGGTATAGAGAGAGAAGGCTTTGAGGGTAGTGAGAACTTCTCTTTTATAGAATCGGGTACGTCAGACTGAAAGATGTCAAGAACATTGTATCACTTCGATTGAGTACACTGCGTTGTATCCAGCATTGCCCTATAAAGTGTGCGCGCATTGTGTGAGACTAATGCAAAGAGTTGTCGCTCTATGATCCATGTGCAAGTATTGGCATTCACATGTCATCCAGACGAGGTTCTTCGAGCGCAAGTAAAACCACAATTGTATTCTCAGCTAGCATATAGAAAGACTGCCCAGATGGTCATGAGATATATGTTCGTGACGGCAAATGAAGTACACTAGCCGCACATCGTACGTAGATTAGTTAATGATGTTTTCACACTTCCAGCAATGGAAATGCGAGCACGATGCGCATTGAGCCGGGTGCTCCTTCGCCACGTTATTACTACCGCACTGGTGGCAGTTCCAATTGTAGGACACGGAATCTACTAGATTTCTGATGATGGTGATGAGTGACATGCTGGTTGTTGTTTTGCGATTGTTTGCGTAGTGAGGATTAATGATGTCAGTATTGGGTACGATGGGATGATTTGTACTTAGACTTGGAGGTGAGTGGTGTGTTTATAAACACTGTTTGTGGTGTTTGATACGATGTGGACAATCGAGACAGAGCCTTGTTAGTACATGATGCCGGTAACCTCAGCGTTGTGTTTCTTTGTGTGAGTGAATGCCTAGGTGGCATTATTAGAGTAACTTCTGCAGCATATGGATGGGCATGTTTCTTTCCCCCGATGTATTATCCATGCCGATCAAGTTGAGATATACAAGACACGGTATACGTAAATCTTATCCTCCATGTCACGTTCGGGTCCGCAACATCGAAGAAGGGTACCAAGACCTATGAGTTCTCTGCTTCTCGACTTTTCATCAGCTCCATATAGTGACGGTCATGGATCCGATGTATGCGTTGATCAACCTAATGTCTTTGTTTGGCCCAGCGACGAGATGCGCCCTCCATCAGGGTAAGAAGGTAAGAATGTCGGAGTGGTGAGAAGAGTTGTGAAGGTAGTGCACAACCTTATTTACTGGGCGACGATGTCATTGACAAACAGGCCGTGATCAAACTTCGGCGAAGATAGCGATTGATCTCGGCCTTGGTGGCGAAGATGATCTCGGCGGTTTGGCGTCTCACAGCTTCTAGATGTTCATGGCGATACTATACTGGCGCGTAGCTCTAGAGTCTGTTCGTCAGAGTTAACGTAAATGTCCTTAGCTAGGTTTAGAAGGTTTTTTTTTCCAAGACAATTGGGTTTGTACCTATGGGCGTCAATACCATCATGCATCCGCAGCTTTGCTGCCATCACTCAATAAGATGTTTGAGAATGCCTCAACGGGAACTGACGTTGATAAGATAACAAACTCCAGGCGCCGAACTAGTATAAGCTCTGCATACCAGTGCGTTTCGAACATCGAGAAGAAGGTTGGATGAGACATATGGGCGTCCCACACTAGTGTAAACTCTATCTGTCAAGAGCACGCGTTAACACAGTCGGGCCGGGAGACCCCACAGAACCCTTTGTCCGATACGTCTTGGGCTGCCCAATCTTAAATGCCGAAGTCAATGCCTCAGTCATCGCAGTCACTCTGTATCCGTGGCGATCGATGGGTCTTTAACACGTATGTATTGCGAGAGTGGTGGCGAAAGAGACACCGAGGCCGCTTCTTGTGTATAGCCCTCCCCATGTCCGGATGCTTAGCGTAGACGAATGTACGGACCTCATTGCGGTCTTTTACAAGAAAGCACTCGAAGCAGCCGTGACTGTATGACGCAGCCGTCAGACCGGAGGTCCAGGAAACGGCGGATCTTCGGAGCTTCCCCGCTCAGTATACACCATTCAGCGGAGGGTGATGGGATCTGCCGGCTCGTACGAAGTGTCAATGGGGTGCTCTCCCGCAAGTGCTTATCGCAGCATATCCTATGCATATAACTTGAAAGTACTCAGCAGTTCCAAGGTTACCATCTCGTACTCATTTCAAGACATCACCTCTTCCATCTGTTTGAAACTGCTTAGAATTTAGTACATCATGTCCGTCCTCGCTACCCAAGCCGAAGAACCCACGAAATGGGGTACAGCCACCGAAACAACAGCAGATCGCTACAGCCGTACGAATACGATGCAGCGCGGCTACGGCCATGCCCTGACAGAGATGATGAACATCTCCAAAGGCCAACACGTCCTCGTGGCGGCCTGCGGTCCCGGAAGCGACGTTCTCGACATTGCGCAAATTGTAGGCCCGACTGGGAAAGTCGTGGGGTTCGACCTAGACAAGTACAGCATCAAGCGGGCGCGTGAGGCCTTGGAGGAGTATCCGGCGCTCAAGCCCTACGTAGAGCTCCACGTCGCCGACGTGCATGATCTCTCCATGTTCGCAGGACAGAAGTTCGATGCCATACACTGCAACATGTCATACCATTGGTTCAGCGACAAACCTCTCTTCCTTGCTCAAGCCGCCACTCTAGCCAAGCCCGGCACTGCTATTGGTATCGCGACTCAGGACGGCGCATTCCGTCTGCCTATACAGGACGTCCGCGATGACGTCTTAGAGGATCTCGGCGAGCCAACAGATAATTTTATATGGCCTTCGAGCCTGCCGGAGATGCAGCGCGATCTGAGCGCCGCTGGGTTTGGCGATATGAAGATGTCGCGCGGTTTTGGCACGCGTACGCTCGAGAGCGTGGACGCGCTGTGGAATTGGTGCAACGATAGCACAGGGAACAGGTTTGGCTACCATTTGCAGGGCGAAAAGGCGGAGCGAATGAAGGAGATGGTCATGGACAGGTTCCGCGGGTTGGCTTTGGAGGATGGGCGCGCGATTTTGCAGTTTAAGCATCTGTCTGCCGTGTCATACTATGGGCGCTGATGTGTAAGCGTTTGGCTCAGGAGACTCTAGGTAGCTTACGAAACTCTGAATCTATACAAAGATGTCCGCGCATGCGTGCTGTGGGTGCTCGTGACTGCGGCTGAGTTGTGACGTAACAGGGTGGCAGCCTCGATGAGAGTGGAGACGTTGAGGGTATCGCGATCATTTCGATTGAGCGCTTATCGGGTGAGATTTTAGAGCGGTATGGCTTTCTAGTCATGCGTTATGCAGATACATTGAGGACAGTCCAGATGTAAGTTCAGGACGGACTGAACATCCGGAAGCTGAGGTGGAACAGAGGGCTCGTGCGCAGCCCCGCCGTCTTCCCGAGGTCGCCTTGGCTGATCTGCAACCCTCCGTCCGTTCTCACGACCCTCTGACACTATGACGCATTAACGGCATTTGCCCCATCTCCTGGCTCATTGCGGATGCAGTTTCTCGACATTGACGACCGGGCCGGCGTCAGCTCCACACAATGTTGCACTTGACCGTCCGCCTGATGAACCCGCCAGCCCGTTCATGACCAGAGACCATCGAATCCCTCGAGAAAGAACGTACATCCAATTAGATCAGCAAAACGATTATGCCCAACGCCGAACAT